CCAGCCTGAATTGCATATCAAAACCCTGTCTTAAAAAAAAAAATTATAGTGTATCCCATAAATACGTATAGTGATCAGGTTTTTGGGAACATTTAAAAAAACAAAGAGAAGATAAGGACTGAGAAAGCAGGTGAGGAATGAATTGGGGCAGAGGAGACAAACTCTCCTCTATACCCATAGACAACTATGGGTATCTCCTGTGATACCCATAGTTGCTGGGAACCTGTATTGTCTCAATAGAGAACCCCCGTCCCATGGGCTCTGGTAGCCCTAGCAGGCAGGACAGGGTTAGAGCTGCCTGCCCGAGGCCCTTGAAAGACATTGCCACTTCAATGTCATCTGTGGCCCTCTTTCTCCCCAGGAATCAAACACAAATCGAAGCTTCTGGCAGCTCTTGTCCCTCCGTGAGGGCAGGTTGTCCTGCTGGGAATAGTGCTTTGGCGATGAACTTTGGGGCTCATGCAGCCAGGGACTGTTCCAAAACACTCAGGTCAGGCCAGAGCCTTTTTCCTATTTAGGACGTGGCCCAGTTCCTGGGATCTGTTTCTTTTTGGTATGTGTGAAGCTGTAATTGGCCTCCCCATAACCTGAGATCAGCTGGCCCTGACTTAGTGATGAAACAGCCTTGGAAATTATTCCAAATGTTCTGTCCTGTTTTTAGCTAGAAAGTCCCTGTGGGGCTGCTGTCACATGGAGACTTGGGAAGCAGAAGGCCAGGTGGGTCTTGGCCAGCCAACCTTCCCCATCTCCTGTCTGTCATAAGGGTTTGTTTTTGTGGCGGTGGTGGTGTTGTTTTGGAAAGAGGATTCTGCTGTGCTGCCTAGGCTGGTCTTGCACTTCTAAGGCAAAGCAGTCTTTCTGTTTCAGCCTCCTAAGTAGCTGGGACTCCATGTGCCTGCTCCCCTGAAGTCCAGGGAGCAGTGTTGTGCAGTTGTCAACAGTGTTAGCCACCACACAGCCCTCCACACTGCGGCTTCTTGTGCTGTCTGCCTCTGTCTTGGCCATCTGGATAATCTGACAGATAGTCTTTTGCTCAGGACAGAGAATCAGAGAGTGCAGATCTCACTGATTCACCTAATTTTTAAAATTCCATTTCCCATGGTGCTTTGAGGTCATAGGCTGGGAATGTTCAACATACTCTGGCAGTTGGAGAGTTTTGAGTATTCGCCAGGGCTCTTCTGAATGCCGCCTTCCCTTTGGAAAAATAACCTCTGTGGGGACCTAGCCTTCAGGGGACACTGCCAAGGCATTCCCTTGTCACCAGAAACCTGGGTGAGCTTGAGCTCTGTGCAGATGGCAGCTGGGTGGGCCTGGCAGAATTGAAACGGCAAAGGTGACTCTACTCCTTCCCAGCTCGACTTGCACAGACTCTGCAGCAAGACACTTGTTGAAGTTTGCCTGGCCCTGAATGTCCTTTCTGTAGGGGCCTGATGTGTGAATGATCTGATAGTACTTCTAGTTTTTTTATTGTTGGTTGTAGCCAAGCTCAGAATTAAATCAACATTTCGCCTCCCCAGAGGCCTGGGCTTGGGCGTGGACTGCCAAGTTCTGATGCTTGATGACCCATTATTGGTCTGCAGAGCTTGCAGAATCTCCAGAAAAATAACACTGAGAGGAAAGCAGAATGTCTGCAGTCTCAGAGTATCTGTCTGTTTAGAGACACTGGATTTTTCATTCTTCAAAGTACAATAGAGAAGAGGTTGCACAGCGAAGCCCCCTGGAGGGAAAAGCAGACTAGGACTCTTACGGAAATGCACCCACTCCTTCCTCCCTGTGTCACAAGTATAGGGACAGCTTGGCGGTCTCCTAAATTACTGTTTTCTTCCTCAGATTCAACTCTTGGCTCTATCACTCACAAGCTTTGTGACCTTGGGCAGCTTAATTAATGTCTCTGAGCTTCAGTTACTTAATTTGCAAGTAATGCCCGCTGGGCTTGGTGGCACCCACCTGTAATCCATTCAGGAGGCAGAGGCAGGAGAATCGTCATGAATTTGAGGGCTACATAGTGAATTCAAAGCCAGCCAACACTGTGTAGCGAAACCCTGCCTGAAAAAAAATGGTGATGCCTATCTTCAAATTAGGCTTCTGTACGGTCTTTTAGAACACCTTCCTTTAAGCCCCAGCCAGGGGTAAGTTGCACTGTCCTATGCTCCCGTTGTACTGCAGGCTGCAGGTGGTCATCTAGAGCTAATTGAAGCTGAGAGCCATTCACAGCCTGCAGCTCCTCAAGAGTACAGATTGTCTTCCTCTGCTATGTTGTCTAAGGTCCTAGTAGAATTCCTGGCAAGGCAGCGCATATCACTCCCCACAAAGGTTCCACTTGGTGCTTCTCTGATGTGTCTACCTGAGCTGTTTTACTCTCTCCTGTGTGCAGTTGCTTGGGTCTAAAGAGATGAGTGCTAATCGTTTTCCTTGAAATGACAGTTCTTGTTTGTTTACTTTTTCTATCTAAAAGAAATTCTGATTTTTATTTCATGTTTGTGGAGTTTCTGGAAAGTAGGCTTATAGCTACTTTCACATTTGTTTCTCGTTCTCCTCTGCTTTCTGGTTAAAAGTGGTGGTCTGGATGTCCATGGTGAGAGATAAATGGTGGTGCAGTCAGGGAGTCCTCAGCTTTTGGCCCTCGGTTGCATCAGGATGTGAGTCTTGCTGAGGAAAGAAAGAACTGGGGGGAAGCCATGGACCTGCTTGCCCGTGTCTCTTTGCTGCTGTTACCTGGGGTTCACAGGCTTCCTAGCCCTCATATGCCCTCATCCAGCAGCAGAGCTTAAGCTTTTGGTGCCCGGAGCTCAGTGGGATATCTTAAAGTGGTACTTGCACAGGTGTAATGCTCCCAAGGGTGTGACAGGCTTGTGTGTGTGTGTGTGTGTGTGTGTGTGTGTGTGTGTGTGTGTGTGCCTGTGCATGTGCGTGAGCAGGCCAAGTGAACCTGAGAATGTGTGTTCAGTCCCCATCACAGCACACTTACCTGGTATTGTAGATGGTCGTGCTACTGGACTTGCTTTTTGCTGAAGATTCTCTAGTAAACTTGAAAAGATGCCGTTTGGTGGAAGATCCCAGTAAATGCAGCAGATGCACTAAGACTTTGTCCTGTGTCTGTATTCATTTTTTTAAAAAGTAGCTTTTTCTTGTGCTGTTGCAAAGGAATTCAAACTCCATATATGCCAGCCTCCAGAATATTCTTTAGACAATTTGTTTTGACGCAAAAATTTCTAAACTTAATACCACTATTCCTTTCCTTTAATCAAGCTTCGCTGATCGACCAAAACTGGCTTGGTGTGACATCACATGCTGAGCCCGGCGTTACCTCTCGATAGTTGGGACTTCTCGGGAGCCTGCGTGGGCCAGGCTACAAGACCGCGCATGAGCCACCCCTAGCTGTGTTTCTGCCTCTTCTCGACGGCTTCCTGTCTCCCCTCCTAAAGATCTAATAAATTCTAAACACAAGTGCTTGTCCCTGTCCCTCAGCCGATGCTGCCCCCACCGATCTTTCTTTGTCAGGTGTGACCTATTTGCATTCTGGAGCAAATGAGTATCACATAACTGTGCAGGAATATACACACATCAGTGGTGAAAATGTTACTGGACATCAGCCACATTGCACAGCTAATTCATGTGCTGAACACTGCCTGTGTTAAGCACTAGACTTAAAATAGCAGAGGGAGGGAAGTAATAGGCCAGACGCCCAGGCTTAGCATCCACACACCTTTAAACTCGTGTGTATAGTTATAATTTCATTCTCTGCTCATAGTAACCCTGGGAGGTGGCTATGTTCTCATTTGTAGACCAGGACATGAGCTCTGAATAGTTACATAATTTTTCTAAGACTCTTAGCCAGCCACCAATGGAGTCAGAGGTCTGACCTAAGGATTTGTCTCAATCCTTAGCAGTGTGCTAGGCCATGTTACAGCAGACACACCACAGAATATGTGGCGGGCTTCCTGGACCAAAACCAAGAGGACTATAAGGGCATCAGAAAGGAATGACCATGGTAATAAGGGAGGCCAGGAACCTGTTTGGTGTAAGAGTTGGAGTCAAACCCAGCATTTGTTTTTGTTTTTAATCCATGAGTCCATAGTGGTATTCAGAAATACACAAAAGAATGACAGAACAGCAAGAGTGACACAGACAAAGATCATCCTGAGTGCTCAGACCTGGGATGAAAGGTCTGGGTACTGTGCGAGAGCTTGGTACTCCCACAGCTTCTAGTGCAACCCCACAAGTGGCTGATGGCTTACAAAGGGGAGATGTGTCTTTGTGTGGGCACTGTCCTACCCACACCTCACTGCTGACCCCACTCCTCCTCCAACAGCCCAGCGTCAGTGTTCAATGTCCATGTTCTGCAAAAAGTGCTTACCTGAGCCAGGTACAGTGGCACTCACCTATAATCCTAGCACTCAGGAGACTGAGGCAGGAGATCGCTAGCCTCAGCAACATACTGAGTTCAAGGCCAGCCTGGACTACAGAGCAAGACCCTGTCTCAAAAAAAAATAAAGCTTGCCCAGGAATCTGACCATGGGAGACGGATACACCCACCATCGCTTTGAGGTCAGCCAAAGAGCTGGCCTGAGTGCAGTCACCGGACAGTGTTAACCTCAGCTGCGTCCCTGGCCGTCCGGCCATCCATGGCCTTCTCTGTGGGTGCTGCTCAGTCCCTAGTGTGAGTAAAGCTACTCATGTCCCCTTCGCCCCTACACTGTCACAGTTACTAGTAAGGGGTCTCTTCCTCGACTTGGCCCAGAGCTCAGGGTATCATGGAAGTAAACGTAGACATGCAGTCTTTGTTTCCTGCACCCTAGCGAAGTTCTGCTCCTCCCAGCATCCTTCCAGCCTCCATCAAATCTATCAAAGTTTGCTTTTCAGTCTGCCCTGTCTTCTGACTTCACCGAAGGCCTATCATCCTTCACGGAAGTGATGGCAACTGCCTTGAATGCATAGGTGTGCCATCCTCTGTCCCATGTCCCTGCCATCAGAACTTACCCTCTTTGCTCATGTTGCAGGTTCCAGCGTGAATGGCTTGGAGGAGCCCAGCGTCGCCAAGAGGCTGAGGGGCACCCCGGAGAGGATTGAGCTGGAGAACTACCGGCGGTCCGTGAAGCGGGCGGAGGAGCTGGAGGAGGTGCCTGAGGAGACACAGGCTGAGCACAACCTGAGCAGCGTGCTGGACAAGGGCACCGAGGAGGACGTGGCCAGCAGGTAAGCCTGTGCCTGTGGCTTGCAGCCACAGCTTCCCCAGGGCTATGCCCTCGCCAGAGCCCACACTGAATATACTTCAGGAGTTTGTTAAGTGTGGTATCTGAGCCAGGCTGTCCTGTATACACAAGGCTCTGGGTTCAATCCCTCGCACTACAAAAAAATAAAAAGTCAAACCAGTTGGCATCTATAAGGCAACACAAGTGCCTTGTCTTTTAAATTTGGGTTTTAAAAAAAGGCAGGGGCTGGGGATGTGCCTCAGTGGTAGAGAGCTTACCTAGCCCAGTACAAAGCCTTGGTTCTGTCCCCAGCACCACAAAAAATTTAAAAGGGTTCTTTTAGAAAAAGCAGTAATAAGAACAGTAACAGATTTGCATCTGGTGCCATATGGAGTGGGAAACAGTCCCATGAAAGTGACGAAGGAGCGCCAGGCTTTGCCACTGCCCCACGAAGGGGCCAAACCCTGTATCCTCCTTCCCTGCTGCACGAGGTGGGAAGCAGGTCCCCCTCTCAGTCCCCGGTGCCCCAGGAAGAGAAGTGAGATGGGACGCTGATAAGTGGCATGGTTTTAAGGACTCACCCACCCCAGCCCGGGAACTCCGTTTCGGAGAACTCACTGCAGCCTCCTGCTGTGGAAGGAAGTGAGTGTGAAGACCGAGACTCAAACCCAGGTGTGCTAGCTACTGCAGGGAGGCAGGAGACCTAACCGCTCTCTGCTTCAGTTTCTTCATCTCTAAGGGCACTGCCCTTCATAACTTTATTGTGAGGATTAAATCAGATAAAGTAGCTGACATCTGGTGCACAGAAGTCCCTAAGAAAATGACAGCAGTTGCCATTGTGCCTTGTAGGTACCCGCAGAGTGCAGGTGGCAGGCCAGGGCTTTTTGTGTTTGTTCCCTCAGAGGTGGGGTAAGTGGCAGAAACTGGCTATGGCCCAAACTCACCATCCCCTGCCACCTTGGAGACCAGACCTCATATCTCTGACCAAACAGGGGTCCCGCTGATGGGCACCTGCTGGCTTGAGATACTGATTCCCACACTGCAGGGTAAAACCCAGAATTTTCATTGCAGACCGCTTCCAGGTGCTGCTCTAAAGTTTGCCTGGCCACAAACCCCACCTGGGACACTTAGTGAAAAACTAATTCCTTGTTCCTCCCTGGGAATGTGGACAGAGAGACTGGCAAAGTCTGCTTTTGACAGACAACCTGGGCAGTTCTCCATCCACATCCACAGTGTGGTTCATGTGGGCTCCCATGAGTCCTCAGCGCATCACTGACCCTTGCCCAACGTCTAGGCAGCCGCTTGCCGGCATAGAGTCAGGAAACAGCGTTTGTGTACCCTATGGCAAGACCAAGTGGCCAGAGACAGGAGGGAACCAGCTCTGGGATCTCTGTGTGGTTTCTCCCTGCCCATTGGAAAGAATTTGCTGAGGCAAGGGAGGACGAATGTGCAGTGCCCAGCGGCTGGCCTCTGTGGTGTTCACAGATCTGTGGCTCTAAAGAACCATCATTTAACGCTGGAACAAGGAGGTGCGTTTGCAGACCAGCCACCTGGTCCCTTGATGGGCCAGCGCACCATCAGAACAACACTAAAAGGAAACGTCCCTCGGACGGCTGACCGTGAATAAATGGAATTCCTGCCTGTCCCTCTCTCCTGCCTCACCCCTTCCGCGCTCAAAGGCAGCAGCGTGAGCTGCAGGTGACAGGATGTTGGGTTGAGCACACATTAGATTTCCTCTCTGTGAAGACTGCCAGGCAGTGCACATTTCTACCACCTGCTAAACAGTGGGGCCAGGGGCATGGCTGAGCAGGACAGCGGATTGCAGTCTCTGGCTAGAAGACAGGATGCTGTGAATCTCAGTTTCCTATGAAAATCACCTGGGAGTGTGGGGATACCCCATGCAGAGCCTGCATCAGTTCCTGTCTGCACCTTCCAAGGGAGATCAGGACCTAGATCACTTCCCGGGCTTGCTCCCCCGCATGCCTGCACCAAACCACTTTGAGGTTCTTGGAGAACCACCAAAGAGGGTACAGCATGGTTCTGTGTCGCTGTCCCCACTGGGAGTCTTAACCCTCCTCACAGCCGTGATCTAGCCTCCTTAGGCCGCAGTTTCCTCGTTTGTAAACATGGGAAGAATACCCTCCCCTATCTAAAATGCTTGGAACCAGAAATGTTTGAGATTCCAGCCATATTTGAAATATTTCCATAGACCTTACAGTTGGGTAATCCTGAAACCCAAAACTCTGAAATCTGAAATGCTCCAAAGTCCAAATTTTTTTGAGAAGGGTATTGGCACTCAGAAACTTTTAGGCCTTCGAGCTGTGAGTTAGGAATGTTGAACTGTGGTATGGTAACTGTGTCCCGGAGTGTAGCTGAGTGAGCAAGTCCCAAGGAAATGCTCTGGCAGAAAAAAAGTAAAAAGAACCAAAAACAAAAAATTAACAGATGAAGTGCTATATGCAGCAGAGTCCATCCTTGGGGCTGCGTTGACCTCCCAGGGACTGTCGCCCTTGGCTGTTCCTGCCCCCTTGGGCAAAACCTCCTCTTGGCTCCGTTAGAGACCTTGTCCCTGTGGGTTCCTCTTCCATGAGCTTGGTATTGCTTCTCCTGCCAGCACTCAGTGAGACGATCCTGAGGGGAAACATGAGGTGTGATGTTGTGGCAGGGAGGCCTTGTTTCTGCACAGTCTTCCAGTGGAAAGTTAGCTTTCCTGACAGGCTCTGTAGTGAGGGGTCTCTGTGGTGTCCTCTCCAGCACCTCCGAAATCAAGGCAGGCTGCCCCGGCTCTCATTGTGGCCTCTTGTGCACTCAACCCGCCTCAGCTGTGCCCAGTCCTCCTGAGACAGTGCCCATCAGATCGGTCTCACGGGACGCCATGTTGTTCCCGGACAAAGCCAAGTTTCTGCTGTGCAAGCAGGATGACCCAGAGGGCTGGCTTTTCTAGCATTCATCGCTCCTACAAGTCTGTACCCTGAGAAGATACTGTTCCTTCCTGTAAGGAGGGAGAAATTAGTTATCTTTTTGTGTTTTGGTATAGAGATTGTCCCTCCTTAGTGTCCAGGCTGTAATCTGCTCACTATAGTCTCCTCCTTCCACTGCACCCAGAGACTTGGGGGATGAACCTTGCAGTGCTAGATTTGGATTGTGAATCTTGCATGATATAGGCAGCCTGGCCAGCCCTAGAAACTGCCCCAAGACTTGTGAAAATGACGTCCTATTGGGGCATGGTGCCACACACCTGTAATCCCAGCAATTGGGAGGCTGAGGCAGGAGGATTGCTGTGAGTTCAGGGCCAGCCTGGGCTACAAAGTAAGTTTAAGGCCAGCCTGAATTACATAGAGAAACCTTATATCAAAAAGAGAAAAAAAGAAAGAAAATTGACAACCTGGTTCCTTGGAAGCAGGTATTACACAGGTATTGAACTTCTGGCTCAGAGCACAGTGGCCAACTGGAGACAAGAGGTCTCATCACCAGAGCAGCAGAGCCTGTGTGGCACTGGGAGGGGTGGACGGGATGGCCCTGGGAAGAGGTAGCCAGGGAGAGAAGCACTTATGGTAGAGCCTAAGAAACTCCCCAAATCAAAGCCTCCGTTGTCCTGCTTCAGTGCAGTCAAACACTGCTCTCTTGGTATCGATGTGTGGTATTGATTATCACTCACACCAGTCTGGGTGCTTTGCAGTTTTTATTAGAACTGTATTACCTAGGCAGCAGACTGGCTGGTAGATAGTCCCATGATTGATTCAATCTGCAGGTCAACCAATTCTGAGTGGCCTAAAACCTGTACCCTAAATCATATTCTTGGTCTTTAATACTAAGGCTAAAGGCTTCAGCGAGCACTCACCTTGGGTCCCATTATGAGACTCCCCACGCCAGACCCCAGGCAAACAAAGATCCTCTCTGCCCATGATCTCAGAGGGGTTAGCGTTCATCTCCCTGAAGTCAAGGACAAGGCCAGACCTCACATTGAGCAAGGTTAGATTCTCCCCTGCACAGCACATAGCACTAGAGTGACTGTGGTCATCTGTCACAGTGCGTACACTGGCTTGTGGTCTCTCACACGCAGAAGGGCTGGGAGGAAGCCTGCCCAGGTGGAGAGAGGACCCCACCTCACAGGAAGTTGGTACTGGGCTTGGCTCTCTGTGGTGCCAGGCTTGGTACAGTGCTTTATTCTGAGAGCCTCAGCTGTTCAAGGTTACACTTCTCACAGAAGGCAGAACCTCCTGAAAAAAGATGCTTTGGAAATTATACGACCATTGAACTTCTCCAGGGGAGCCCATAGCATGGAAGGGGATGGAATTTTATTCCTGTCCTGCCTGCCTGCCTGCCTTTTTCCCTCTTCAGGGCCGGGAAGAGGGGATCCTAGAAAGTAGGGTTGGGTTTTGGCTTCCCTCACTTCGTGCGTGGAGTGCAGCTTCTTGGCTGGCCGTGGGCTGTGAGGACACCAGTGTGCAGAGCATAGCTGCCCATCAGGGGTGGTAACCCCTGTGTGGAGGACCTTTCCCAGGGAGCCAGACATCACTTACCACTTGCCTGTGTGCAGCTCAGAGATGGGCATGCAGTGGAGTTCCAGGGAGCAGCTGAGATCTAGCCGCTGCTCCCACTAGGCCAATGATTCTCCTGCGAAGCTACCAAACAACCCAAGTGGAGCAGAATTGACATCTTCAAACAGATCAGGATGGAGGAGGATTTTCTCTGCTTTCTCAGTGCCTAGGATTGTGGGTTTATAGCAGGGGTTTATCACCCCTACTGTACCTTTGAGGCCTCTGTGAACCCCGACTCCAGGGTCCTGGTGTTCTCTGGGCTGCTGGCCTACGTGGATTCACCTAGGCGCTCGCTCAGATGTGTACATCCTCTGGTTTCCATCATCCCTCTCCCCCTGGCAGGGAGGGACTGGCTCAGCAGGCGCTTTGCTGAGATGCTTTCGCTCTGAACCATCCCTTCCTCAGCGTGTCGACCTTCCCTCACTCGGCCTTGTGGTTGCTTTTGACAGCAGTTCCGAGTCGGAGATGGAGGAAGAAGATGAGGAAGAGGAGGAGGAGGACCAGCTGCCCCCCTCTGACCTGGGCGGTGTTCCTTGGAAGGAGGCTGTACGGATCCACGCCCTTCTGAAAGGAAGGAGTGAAGAGGAGCTGGAGACCTCCAAAGGCTTTGGACCTGGGGAGGAAGAAGAAGAAGAATACGAAGAGGAGGAGGAAGAATACGAGGAGGAGGAAGAGGAGGAGGGAGAGGAAGCATCTAGTGAAGGTCAGAAAAAAGTCTCTCCTGCCAGCCCTGACCCTGTCCCACATGTGCACGCAGGAGGTTTCATTGGCTCGGAGTCACACAGACGCCTCCTGCAGAGCCTGAAACCGTGTTCCCTGCCACTCCCGGCCTTAGGCACAGGGCAGACCGTGGCATTGGAAGTGATTCCCTTATTCACCTTGGTATTTTTTATTATAAGTGAGACTCAGAGACTTCCACGAAGTCCAAAGACTTTGTTCAAATTAGGGTATTCATTCCTGTCTTCTCGCTTTCTCTTTTTTTGCTTAAAGTTTCAATTAGAGAAATTAATTAGAGTGAAACAAGGAATTGAGCCTGCTGGAAGAGTCCCTGATTCCTAGTCTTGGATGATAGAGGCTGCTGGGAGCTTAGCTGTCCTCTGGACAGGGTTCCCTTGATACCCCGAGTAATGTGTTGGGGCCTCAGAAGAACTTAGGTTCCGTAGTCAGTTACTTTAGTTGGTTCCAAAAGATTCTCTTGTCTTGCGTTTTTGATTCTGAATCTCCCTGAATCTGTGACCTCCAGGGACAAGGAAGCAAATTTCCAAGCCCTTTGCCTGCCTGTGTGGAGAAAGATGGTCATTCTTCCCGGTCCTGGCCACAGCGAACCCCATGGGTAGTGAGGAAGGGACCAAGGCAGATGAGACCAGACTCCCGGACAAGGCTGTGCTCCATCTCTGAGGGCGTGACCTGGGAGCAGGAACACAGGCCTTTGTGTTCCTGAGCCTCAGTTCCTCCTCATTTTGGGGCAGAGGAACAGATTAATACAGGATCACACAGGAGACTTGGCACACGGTTACCCTGCTGTCCCTGGCCTTAGTTCTGCATTTCCTGGAATTCGCCATGGTCGCTGCCCGGGCAGATCCACAGGCTGTTTCCTCTGGCACTGCAAGGCCCATACCTTCCCAGACATGCGTTCATGTTCCCGAGCCGCTCCTTGGAGAGCTGTGTCTCCAACACACTGCTCCTGCAAGGCAAAGTAGATAGAAAGAAGGCACCCCTAACCCTGACCCGGATCCTCGGCGTTGGCCTGAGTGGTAAGGGAGAGCCCCTCCCTCAGAAGCTTCTAGAAGTCTCCCTGCAGAGCCTGTCTCCCCTCGAAAGGTGGAGGCCCAAGCTGGTGCAGGACCTACAGCAGGTGTGGTGGCTTGTGTTCCTGCCAGGCATGAGACACGGGAAAGGTCTGGGTAAGAGGGAGCCCCAGAGCCTGGCTAGAACCTGAGTTCTACTCTGCTGCATCTGCAGAGCTCAGAGCTGTCGCCTGGTCCCTGCTGTCAGAGATGTGAGCCGGCTTATGACTCCCGCAGGGGAAGGTGTTTTGTTCCTATTATCTCAGAAGTCACTATCTCCGCGGGACCATTAATGCTAAGAGGCTTTTACCCACAACACCTGCCTGGCAAGCACAAGGTCCCGAGTTCAATTCCAGTACCAAAAATCAAAAAAGAATTTTCCCCTGGCACAGTTTGGGGTCAAAGCTTGTTCTTTCCCTCTTTAAGAGAGTTCAGCTTCCTGGTCTTGAACCTAAAGGCAATCCACACCTGTAGGGAACAGGGTCTAAACTAGCAAAAAAAAGTGCCAACAGATTCAGCCCAGCTCTGAACAGTGCCAGCTGGGACCTGGTGTCCCCAGCTTGAAGTGTGCTGCCTTCTGGGCAGCAGACCTTGACGCCTGTGTGGGCAATGGCAGACACTGCTGCCTTGCTGCTGAAGACAACTCTGCTCTCTTCTCTTTCCTCCCCTCCTCTCTTTGCTCTCCATTTTCCCCCTGCGGGATTCTGATGCTGTTTATGGGTGTCTGGCTCCCCCTGCTGTAGAAGGGGAGTATTGCCCCTGGGACAGAGAACTCCTGCAAAGCCAGTGGCTCCAGTACCTCTCAAAGGAAGAAGAAAAGGGTACCCGTAAAGGTACCCACTTTGCCCCCTGCCCACCTTTACTCTAGCTGCCTAACAACCATCCAAAATACGCCTCCAAGAGCAGGTCCCACGTGAGAATATCTGTGTCATGGAGATGCTCGCACAGGCTTCGCTCATACCTGGCTGGGCACCTCCCCCGTGCCCAGCCTTCCCCGGCAAAGTACATAGGAGCCTGTGGGGGAGCAGACATTCAAGAGGCAGCCACAGAAGACTCCAGGGGAGCGCATGGAGCGTGGCCTCCTCTCTACCTCTCTGGCTTTTGCTAAGAGTTATTCCTAGTAGCTAAGTTAGCTTCCTTAATACAGAGGCCCACAACCTGACTACAGCTCTTCCATCACCTTCACAGGTATCTTTAGCATTTCCCTGAGAAAGGAAGAGATGCTGGCTTCATGCTGTTGATAAGTCCCCAAGGTTGCTTGTGTTAACAGGAAGCAGAACACTGTACCTGGAGGAGGCTTGCTCACTCCTCCTTTTGCTGAGAAGGTAAAGGCTCTGCCTTTTCTCTTTGACTTATCTTCTCCCATCCTGAGATACCCAGGATCCTGGGTGACTGCTGTGCTTCAGGCCTCCAGCACTATAAGGACAAGTGAGTCAGCCTTGGAAGCAGTGCGCAGATCTTTGCAGACCCACAGTGAGAATCCCATGAGCGTCAGTGCCCTAGCATGACAGAAAGCAGTTGGCATCTGCGGAGGCTCTCACTGGCACTGGCGCCCACATCACTTACCCTTGTTCCAGGCTAGGAGATTGTGGTTGCAGTGGTTGACCCTCCAAGCCTGGCTGCCCAGTTAGGTGGCTGAGGGGAGAGAACATGCACTCCTCCCAGCTGGAAGAGACTCCTGGCAGGAAGCCCAGAGCCCCTCAGATTGGGTGGCACCTGCTCATGCTGGCTAAAGAGCCACCTGCCTTCACACGTAGTGTCCCCTCACCCCACCCGCCACCCCCATCCCCGGTCACCCGCTTTATCTTAACCCAACTGCGTGGGGTGATCTAAGTACTAATGACAGGGCGCCCACCGGGCAGGGACTGCATGTGAATTCATGGGCTCTGACGGTCTAAGCTGAGCAGACTGCTGGTGAGTTTGTGTCCAGCCTCAGGACCAGGTCTTGTGTCCAGAGAGCTCAGTGGGGCACCCAGGGAAGTGTTACGGAAGCAGGCCTTGATCGCAGGAGCAGCAGAGGTATCAGTCTCGTTCCTACACTGAACCGCAGACATCTGGGTTGTTACAGCTAGAGTTCTGCTTCCCCTCCCAGTCTCTGCCTTCATCATCCTGCCACACAGCGCACGTCCCTGTTCCGACCTGGCACGCAGTGGGAGGCCTCTTAGAGAAGAGGGACTTTTTCTCTCTGGGAGCACTTAGTCCTGCAGAAGCTGAAAACTAAAGTACCAGCAGAGCACATTTCTGTCCCGTGAAGCTAGCTGGCTCAGCAAAATGGCACCGTCCTCTCGCACCTCTCGTTGTTTATCAGAGGAGAAGCCATCAGCCTGGCAAGTGGTGGTAAGCACCTGCCAGGTGGCCACAGAAGAGCCACAGGTGTGTGTGCTGTAGGTCTCATGCTGTGCAGGTAACAGCTGCGTCCTTGGGACCCATGGAGGGGTGACCCCATAGAGGCCAGTGGTAATCTGCTCTTGACGTTTGGGCCCTCAGATGAACCTTAGGATGAGAAGAGCATCAGAGTCTATATTTGGAGGTGGACTGTGCAGTTCTCTTTATTGAAATTAATAGTATCTATTAAGCTTTAAATGACTAAACTGAGGAGTGTGCATGTGTGCACACAGGCACGTGTGTGTGTGTGTCTCGGTACACATTCTCAAGTTTTATCTGTCTCTGATTCACATTGCTCCTGGCAAATACTGTAACTTTTCTATTTCCTTTCCTCTGGTGTTTTGTCCCCTCCTCCCTTTGAATGTTTATTTTCTTGTTCCATCATCTCTGTCATCTGCTCCACCCTTTGGACCTGGTCACTAGCCGGGAACCACCGGCTACAGCAGATCATAAATCCAGAGGACCCCTTGGCAATCCAGGCTGATGTGCACTGGACGCACATTCGTGAGAAAGAGGAGGAGGAGAGGATGGTCCCAACCTCCGAGTCCTCCACTTCTAGAGGTAACTGCTGGAGACACAAGGCCGGGGTGGTCCTCGAGCTCCTCTGTCCTCCATCCCCTCCTGCTTCCTGCTAGCTCAGAGCCTTGGTTTGATCAGAAGTAGCTGGTGCTCCCCCAGCCGCCACCCTGACCTCTCCTTCAAGGATATGTAAAGTTCTTTGTGGAGTAAGAGGGTTCAGTCTTTCTTCACTGATGCAAAGCAATAACGTAAACCTGACCTAGGGAAAAACAAGCACTTGCTTCCTTCCTGTGCCCTTAGTCCTTGGCAGGTTCTTCCCTGCTCTGCAGAGGTGCTGATGCTTTCCCGGGGCGGGGGGGGGTGGGGGGGGGGCTGACGTGCCTGTGCGTGCCAGGCAGGGAAGGGGAGCGTATTGGGAAGTGAAGTCAGAAGAGGTGTATGAGGGGGCTGCCCGGTCACTGTGTCATTTGTAACTGTAGGTTTCATTGGAGAAGGTCTGTGTATGCGTCAGCTGCAAGTATGCCACATTCTGGCTCATTTCCAGGGATGGCGATAGGGCACAGAGGAATCTGTGGGCCTGCGGTGGCTGCTTGTTCTCAGCTCTCCTCCTTCCAAATGCACATTGGAGTTCCAGCGTGCTCTTCCTCAGGCTCCCTTGGCTTCTCTTGTTTCTCAGGGGCTGTGGTCAACCACTGTTCAGGAAGGGAGTTTGTGGAAGGGTGTTCCCCACCCTGGAGAGGGGAGCACAGCCTCTCGGGGCACATTTCTTCCCTGCAGCCTCAGGTCTTGCCAGTAGGCAAGACCACCTCCACCAATGGCTTTTGCAGCACTGTAGCTTCCCAGCAGCTATGCAGAGGGTGATTAATGTCGCTGCTGGACTGGGACAGTGCTGCCACCCTCTTGGGGCCTCTCTCCCTACTCTGAGTTCCCACCTCACAGGCTCACAGTGGATTATCACTCCTTGTCGGTGCCAGACAGGCTGTGTTTGTGACACTGTTTCAGGCTTTCTTCTATTTGGACTTTAGGATTCACTCAACCCTCTGCCCTTGGAATGCTTCCTGCTGTGTAACTTTGTATTTATCATCTGTTTTAAATCCAGTGCCTGGCCTCCCCTCCATACGCCGTGCAGCAGTGCAGGCCTGGCTGGAGACGGTCTCTGGAGGTAGTCTGGTGATGTTGGATCTCCCCCTACCCATTCACAGTAACCTCTCTTTCTAGGTGGCTCTGCTGGTGCCTTAACCCTAGAACCTGGGTCCTGCCGCAGGTGCATGTGAGGGCGGAGCCAGAGGCGGGTGGGCACTGCATGCCTCAGCCCGCAGCCTTCCTGCATGGGCCAGAAGCGCCTCCCCCTCCCCAGGGCCGCAGAGAAGGGCAGAGATAGTCCTCCGATTCATAGAGGTTGAGATAGAGGCCCCGGCTAAAGTGTAAAAATTAACTTGGGTGGTGGTTGGTGTGAAAACAAGAAAAATCAGAAAATATTCCACAGAGCTATCAGAAGAAAATCGGCAGAACTCAAGGAGGAATAATGGGAAATGACCAGAGAGGACAGGGCAGACCACTGGTGCCTGTGGTACAGTAGTCAGCTGGGGGCTGCAGTCTCCAGGCTGAGTGCAGGAGTCTCTAAGTGCATACACCGAAAGATAATCCAGAAAACTTAGCTGCCTTAGATTTTTCTGGAAACGTGTTCCTCCATGAAGAGCTGCTGGCATTTTGGGCAGGAGATGTTCCACTTGGGATGTTCAGTGTCCTTGGCCTCTGCCCTCTCAACATTGTGCATTGGCCATTCCCATGTCCATCGCAGTGACCACCAGGGGCCCTGTGCATTCCCAAGCTCTGCTTGAGGATGGGTGGCATTGCCTCCTGGCTGGGAAATGGCTTCCTTCTGGGACAGACTGGCCCGTGTGTACCTTCACCACCAGACTCCTCCCGTCCAGCCTGCTGCCTCAGCAGTGGCAGGAGAAACACACATGCATGGAGAGGAGGTGTTACAGGCCATAAGAGAGGGAGTGGCCCTGGTACCCAGTTAAGCTGGCCCTGAGCCATCAGCCCCATGACACAAACCTCTGGAACCTAGTTAGTGTACACCCCAGATGGTGGAAGGGGCCGAGGGCAAAGGACTGCCCAGCTGGCGATGGGGGAAAGATCTGTTCCAGGCTTTGAAAGGGTGTGGCCGCTTCTAGCACTCTGCTCTCCGTCCTAACCTGGATTCCATCCCCAGCCCATCGCTCAAGCTGTAAACTCCTTCAGCACCTGCTGCTGCTGCTGCTGCTGCTGCTGCTGCATCAATATAGTTCTTCTGCTCGTTTTTTGATACGTGACAATCATTCTCTTCAAGGTCCCCGAGGAGTGCTCTCCCCGACACACAGCACTCTGGCTCTGCAGCAGACATTTCTTAGAAACTCCAAACGGGAGAACCTGTGAAGGACTGAGGGCCCAGGACAGGGACAGGCTAACCCCGGGGCAGACTGGGCAGCCTGGGAGGGGGTCTCTTCCAGCTCACTTGCCTGAGAGAGACAGAGACAGAGATAACCACCTCCACACCAGGCCCCTTCAGATTCATTCACAGAACGTGTCAGCACTGAGCCTTGAGTCCAGAGAAAAACTTTATCCTGACCCTCCCCCCCCAGGTCTCCTGTGCTCAGACAGAGTAGAGCACAATGATGAGCCCACGCGCAAAGCTCAGGTTTGACTGGAGGTCTGTGTAAGACTCTGCTGCTTTTTGGTGAGGCTTTTGTCCTGCTCCATGGTGCTTGGTGAACTGTCTCCGTCAGTGATGAAAAGCAGTGTAGTAACTCAAAGGCTTTAACCTATGGAAATGGCCAGGCATGGTGACTCACACTTGTAATCCCAGCACTTGGGAGGCTGAGGCAGGAGAATTGCTGCAAATTTGAAGCCTGTTTGAGCTGCATAATGAAACACTGTCTCAAAAAACAAAACAACAACAACAACAAAAAACCCTATGAAAATACCTGAGTTGTCTCCCTGGTATTTCCCCCAGCAAATGCTGTTAATAAAATACATAAGTGTGGCATTAATCATTCACCAGCCCAGAATGTAGCCCAAGGCACTCCCCATCTACCCCTGAACCCTAGACTGTCTGTTACACCCAACTGGTTTAGAGTCATACAGAAACTAGATTTGAACCAGCACCTTATTCGCTGGGCATAAAAGATAAGTATACAGTACAAGAAATTCTCTTTAAGTTTTTGTCCTTGTGGCTGTTTTGAGACAGGGTCTTACTGCATAGTCCAGGTTGGCCTTGAACTTACTTTGTAACCCCAGCTGGTTTGAAACTTGCAGCAGTCCTCCTGCCTCAGCCTGCCAAGAGCTGGGATTACAAACATGCACCACCACACCCAGTTTAAGGAATGTTAAGGAAGCAAAAACTTATGTAACTACCATCTAGGTCAGAAAATAATCCAGCATCTTGGAGGAGTCACAGTCTTCCTCCCTGCTCATCCCCAAAGTAAGTGCCTTTGTGACTTTCATCACAGTCTGACCTCAGTGGCACCTACACCGTTGCCCCCACTCTGTGCCCAGGCCGAGGTGCTGGAGGCTACCCTAACCCTAAGGAACAACGTTGGCCACTCTGAGAATTGCCCTCTCCCACTTCCAGTGCAGCTTCCTAAGAAACGCACTTGGAGTCTAACACTCCTGTGTCTTAGGCATGTGACCAGTTTCATATTTTTCTTGTTTAAAAAGAGAAAGACAGGGTGCCTGGGGCTGTTGCTCAGTAGTAGAGCTCTTCCCTCACGTGTGCAAGGCCCTGGGTTCATCCCCAGCATTGTTAGGAAAAAGAGCACAAAAGAAACAGAAAGACAAACTGCTTCAGCCAGGTCCTTTGCACCGTACCCTGCCTTGGGCCTGGGCCTCAGCACCTGTTTTCTGAAATCAGACTGCAAGAGAACCAGGCGGGTGGCTGTCCCTGCAACTAGATGGGAAGCTGCAGGAGCCCGGCAGCCCCGTGTGCGTGGCGGCTGGACAGGTCAGGCAGGAGTGTGCCTGGCCTCTTTTGGCAGCACTGGCAGACGACTCTTGAGTCCAGAAAAGGAACTTTACATATCCCCTCAGCCCCACTCCAATGCTCTAACAAAACTTCCCCACACTCTTGCAAGAAAAGCTGCTGCCATTGATGGGAGGGCAGGGCCCCAGGTCCTGCTGGCCACTCACCAGGGTGACCCCAGGTTGAGCAGTATGGCCACGCACAGGTCATCCAAATGGCCTGTGGCTGTTTTCTGTCTCAGGGCTGGGCCCTAGGATTGTGTGGTCATGAGACTAAACGACCCATGAAGGCCTGTGAAGGGGTCAGCTGGTGCCTGCCGACTGGAGACCCTTTAGCCAGCAGCCCCTAGAAGAGGGAGTACATCTCCTCCAGTGCCTGCTCCCTCCGCAGCCCACTCCAATGGAGAAAGGCCCTGGGCCCTTCTCAGCCCCCACACTGCTTCCAGAGCACCCCCATGCCTAACCCAGTGGCCCTCACGTGACCACAGTCTGTCTCCGTCTGTTTTTTCTTCCTCCTTGACTTTTTCTGCTTTACAGTCCCATTGGATGAGGACGACCTGGAGGACGATGAGGACTCAGAACCAGCCGAAATTGAAGGGGAGGCAGCAGAGGATGGAGACCCAGGGGACACTGGTGCTGAACTGGATGACGGTATGGGGCTCTGACCACCCCTCTCCACCTGGGTGACCTCTTCTTTTCCCTGCTGGCACAAGGCCGCAGTGCTTAGAACTTGGGAAAGATCAAAACAATCTACTTTAAAGCAGAAGCTCAGGCGAAGTTTGTTAGTCTTTGGAATTTCTCTTTTCTGCCAGTAAGCAAGTTTCATTCAGTACCCTACCTCACCCCAGAGCACCATTCGGTGTACCCCTCAGGTGCTGAGCTGTGGTTGAGAGCTCAGCAAATTGCAGGCTTTTTGCAGGGTCTTGAATCCAGTAGATAACTCTGACAGCAAGAGACAAGGACATTTTAAGAATTAGTCTTGGTGGTGGGCAAAGAAAGGCATGAACTAGGCTGGATGGGAACAAGAACAAATAGAGGTGACACAGTAAAAGGGGACAGAGGAGAGCAAAGAGGAATCAGTAGCTGGCCTGTCCTCCTCAGACATAGCCGGAGTTGTTCATGTCATGTGTCATGGTCCCCATACTTAAGCAGAACACCGCAGACTTTGGGAGACCCCCCACTGCAGAGGCCAGTGCTTTTTGTGTTGGGAGAGTCTTTGGCTGTGTGGCTCAGGGGCCGTGTGGACAGCAGGCAGGGTCTGTCACAAGGTAGGAGGCTCACCCGGATCGCAGGACCTGGTGTTGACCTCAAGCACCTGCACTGCAGTCCCTTGGTCTGCTCCAAAGAGAGAAGAAACAAGAAGGGCGCAGCCTGGCCCCAGGGTCCCCCAACTGTGTCCTCTGCCTCCACCAGATCAGCACTGGTCTGACGACATCCCCTCAGAAGCCGACACAGAGCTTCCGTTACGGAGCCAGGCTAAGGTGGAGGAGGAGCTGAGGGTGTCAGAAACCGAGGAGGAGGAGGAGGAGCCACCTGCTGTACCAAAGCAGCAAGAGACAGGTAGGTCCCCTGCTGTAGGTGGCGGACACGGCTTCCAGAAGGTTCCAGTCTCCTCCTTGCTGTCCTACTGTAACTCCCTCCCTCCCGGGGACTGCCAGTGGTTTTATCCAACAGCTCCTTTCCTTTCGTCCTTTGAGATCCTGCTTTTGCACACCACAGGATACTGATAGTGCCAACAGGGTAGTACATGGCAAAAACGCTTCCAGGAGGACACTCAGTGCTGAGGACAGTCCTCTCTAGAGCAGTGACGACAGGCCCAGGGAAGCCGTCTGAGCTGGCTCGGTGGACCTCTGCTTTCCTCCCGCCATGCCCTAGGCTGGCTGCTGTGTGACACCCTCTGGAAGCTGGCTGGGACCCCTTGTGGCCCATGCTGGCGTAGCCAGTTTCCTGTTGTGACCCCTGTGTTGTTCTCTTCAGGTCCCTCCCAGGCCTCCAGCCCCATCCGGTCTCCTCAGGAGCAAGCCGTTCTCTTCACCCCAGCCCACAGCCCTGTGACGGAGGTGAGGGTTTGTTGCTTACGGTTTGAAAAAAAACTGGTGGGACCCTGAGGAGACATAGTGACTCCTGTTTTAAGGACCAGATATGAGCCGCACAAAACCTGAATGTGAAGTAGTCTACTAGACTGTATCAAAGCTAAACCTTCGTTCGTGCTAAGTGGAGCATCAGTAGGGCCTTGGAACTTCTAGCTTAGTCCTCAAAAATACGCAAAGTTATTTGTAAACTGAACCAGTAATCATGGAATCAGGTTTATTATGGTAGCTACATTTTCCTTAACGTTAAAATAACTAAAAAGCTAGTTAGAATTTTTAAAATTCTCCAGAGTGCCAGTATTGTATGAAACCACGTCAGAGAATTCCGCGTGAAAACCTAACTGCGACCTGAGCAGTGGGTTTGGCTGTCGCCATCCCAAAGGCAGATGGGAAAGGAAGGGCTTTGTGTTAGGGACCCCAGTGTGGCAGACTCAGAGTGTCTGTCTGTCTGGTGGGGGAGCTTTATCATTGGTTTGGTTTGCTTTGGGTTTTTTGTTTTGCTTTGCTTTTGTTTGTTTGCTTGCGACAGAGCCATGTCGTCCAAGCTGGCTGGCCATGAACTCGCTTGTGTAACCCAAGCTGGCCTCGAACTTGAGGTGATGATCTTCCTGCCTCAGCCTTTCAAGTGCTGAGATTACAAGTGTGAGCCACCATGCCCACAGTGACAGAAGGATCCGTGTGCATTTCTGAGGTTCCTGGGAAAGACTGGGACTCTAAAACAGACTATAGTCAGTAACTGAAATCTTCGCTGTGGTGTTACCTCAGGGGCTCGGACCTTGGAGATTGCTGCTTGGGTGAAAGCAAATTCCTTGGTGTCCTTCAGACAGGGTTTGTTTCAGTAGACAAAGAATGTGGGTTGTATCTGGGATGAACTGAACCCCAAAAGCTCAAGTCAGTTCATTTAGGCTAAGGAAAGAGCTTCTAAACATTGAACGAATAGAGCAGAAGGCGCAAGAGGTCTTCCCCATGCTAAATAACAGCTGCAAGAATAGAGAGGGATTTATTTCAACACACTAAGTCCTTAGAGAGCCAAAGTTCCCTCAAGGACCTTCCTACCTACTAACCTCCTCCTCCTTACAGTATCTCTCTTCCATCTTTCTAGGGCCCCCAAATCCCGCTTGCCTCTGTCACCACCAAGGTAAAATCCCCTGAGGAGCATCTCTTCCCTGAACCTCTGCTCCCCCAGGAGAGGTCCAAAGCTGAACCTCCTGTGGATCAGAAAGCTGCACACACTCCCATCAGATCACAGCCCGCGGCTCTGCCGGAGGCCAGGACGCCTACCTCACCAGTCAGCTCACGGCTTGTGCTACCTGTGTCCCCCACTGCAACCCCCTCTGCTCAGCTCCCCATTTGCTCCCAGCCTCAGCCTTCCTCTGAGGCCACCATCCCGTCCCCCACAGAGTCCCCCATTCGCTTCCAACCCATTCCAGCAAAAACATCCACCCCCCTGGCTCCTCTCCCCCTGAAGAGCCCAGGGGACCCCAGGGACAGGCTCGGCGGCCCCCTCGTAGTGGAGGAGGCCCTGAAGCGCAGCGACCTGGTGGAGGAGTTCTGGATGAAGAGCGCTGAGATCCGCCGCAGCCTGGGTCTCACGCCTGTGCAGCGGCACAAGGGGCCGGAGCCCAGCTTCCCCTTGCCAGCCGTCAGGCCCTTATCCCTGAAATCCTACTCGGTTGAGAAGTCCCCTCAGGATGAGGGGCTCTGCCTTCTGAAACCTCCACCCGTTCCCAAAAGGCTGGGCCTGCCAAAATCAGACGGTGAGCAGCCCTCCCTGCCAACTCCCAAGTCACCGCCTGACCGAGAACTGAGAAGCTCCCAAGAGGAGCGCAGGGACCTGTCCAGCAGCTCTGGCTTGGGCCTCCACGGCAGCTCCTCCAACATGAAGACCTTGGGAAGCCAGAGCTTCAATACCTCCGACTCCACCATGCTCACTCCACCCTCCAGCCCACCCCCTCCACCACCCCCTGACGAGGAGCCCGCCACCCTGCAAAGGAAGCCTGAGCACAGGGAGGCTGATCCCAAGGCCTCTATCATCCCTCCTCCCCCACCTGTGTTCATGCGGCCCCCTCGAGAGCCTGCCCAGCCCCCCAGGGAGGAGGTTCGCAAGTCGTTCGTGGAGAGTGTAGATGAGATCCCCTTTGCTGATGACGTGGAGGACACGTATGATGACAAGACCGAGGACTCGAGTCTGCAGGAGAAGTTCTTCACACCCCCCTCCTGCTGGTCCCACCCAGAGAGGCCCCCCCAGGCACCCCCAGCCAAGGAGAATGGGAGGCTGCCTGCTCTGGAGGGCAACATGCAGCTGCAGAAACGAGGGCTCCCCTGGGTCTCCCCAGAAGCCAAGGAGCTGGCCGAGGAGCGCATGCGAGCCCGGGAGAAGTCTGTGAAGAGCCAGGCACTGAGAGATGCCATGGCCAAGCAGCTAAGCCAGATGCAGGAGATGGAGATGGCTGCTGGGGCTTCCAGGTCCCACAGGGTGTCCTCAGTGGCCTCCCAGGGCAAAGAACTCAGGTCTGAGTCTGCCAGACAGCTGGGTCTCAGAGGCTCTGACGAGCCCACCTTGAAGCATGAAGCCACCAGTGAGGAGGTCCTGTCGCCTCCCTCAGACTCAGGGGGCCCAGATGGTTCTGTCACCTCATCGGAGGGCTCCAGTGGAAAGAGCAAAAAGAGGTCATCCCTCTTCTCTCCCCGAAGAAACAAAAAAGAGAAGAAGTCCAAAGGGGAGGGCCGACCTCCAGAGAAACCCAGCCCTAGCCTCCTGGAGGAGGTGGCTGCCAAGCCCAAGTCCTTATGGAAGTCTGTCTTCTCTGGGTACAAGAAGGACAAAAAGAAGAAGGGCGAGGAGAAGTCTTGCTCCAGCACCCCATCCAGCGGTACCACGGTGGACTCCGGCAGGCACAGGATGTCCCCTATCGTGAGAGCAGGTATGTCTGCAGCCAGGCAGCCTCCCATCACAGGCATGAGCCATGCATTCTCTAGTCATCTGGCCTCAGAAGGTCATGTGCTCCACCCAGGATTCGTAGGTGAGGCAGGAGCCAAAGCACAGGTGCTTAGGACATAGTCCATCCCCACAAAATGATGCTAAAGCCAGCTTGAACCTGGAGAGGGGGGACCTGGATGGCACCCTTCCTAAAGTCACATTACGCAGAAGGTGGGCCTGTTTTTAAGTGGGCAGAGAGCAGTCCTGCTGGGGGGTCATGGGCAGTTGTCTGGGGGTGGCATCTGTTGAGTGTTGACCCTGCTCCTGTGGTGACAAGGGTCAGTGTCCATACTCACATCTTCCCACATAGGAGGCAAACCATTCGGCTGCTCACAGTGCCATGGATGTTGAGGTGCTACCCGGTGTCCTCACATGGCCTCTTTTCCCCTTTAGAGCTGCAGCTCCGGCGCCAGCTGAGTTTCTCAGAGGACTCAGACCTCTCCAGTGATGACATCCTCGAGAGAACCTCCCAGAAGTCCAAGCGAGAGGTAGGTGGGTCCTGAGGCCACAGCTGGGGATTCAGAGAGCTGGAGATGGTTGGTTTCTTGATAAGGCAGAAGACAGACAGTCGAAAGCCAAGGGAGAGAATGCAGAGCCCAGCCTGGGGCCTAAGGGCCAGCCACAGAAGGGGACTCCGCTCAGGCCTTTGAACCAGTACATGGGTATATTTGCTTCTAAGACAAGAGCTTCAGGTTCTGCCCCTGTGAAGAAGGCTGATGTGTTCTGTGCAGAAAACTTTACTCAGGCTTTAGGAAGCAGCCTGGCATTGTCTGTTTGCTCTATTTTCCCTCAGAAGTCTTCGCATGGAGTGGCATAGGCCAGGGCCTGGTGACAGGAGATACGTTTTCCCGGACACCAGGGTCATTGAGGAGGGGACAAGGCTGCAGGTGTGGAAGGGAAGTGGGACCAGGTTGCTCTTTAGGGATGGACCTCTTCCACCTACCTTCCTGATGGGTTTTTGAATTAGCAAGGACTTTTTGCTGTTAAAAACCAGTGCAGCTGGGTGTGGTGGCACACACCTATAATCTCAGGTGTTCACGAAGGTAAAACAGGAGAATCACAGTTTGGAGCCCAACCTGGACAACTGTGGGAGCCCCATTTCAAAATTTTCAAAAGGAAGCAGGTGATGTAGCTCACTGCAAAGGCCCTGGGTTCATTCCCTTGCAATCCTGGACCCCCATAAAAAGATCCTATTCCAGGTGCAGTGGTCCATGCCTGTAATGCCAGTTACTAGGGAGGCTAAGGCAGGAGGATTACAGGTTGAAGGCCAGTGTAGGGAGCTTAGTAACACCCTAACAAAAAATAAAAGACTGGGAATATAATGTAGCTCAGTGGTACAGTGCCTCTGGGTGGAATCCCTGGTACACAATGAACAAAACAAAAAAGAACTAGTTTCAAAAGTTGGCCTGGGTCTATGGTCAGTCCTATGTGAGATCTTCGATGCTCCAGGGCCAAGGAGGTGTGGCTGCTCGGCTCTACTGAGAAGCAGAGGTCTCCACTGGAGGGCTCCCTCATCGCTGGGCTCCCTGGTGTGCTCGTTCAGTCTTCTGGTTTCCAAGGGCTCTGGTGGCTCCGGGTGGCTTTGTGTAGGCACCGGGGCGTTGGAGGAGGAGAGGAACTGAAGAGCATTCTAGTGGGGCATCTGTGTCTCAGTGACAGTGACCAGATGAGAACTGAGATCCAGGCAGGCCTCAGCCATAAGGCAGTGACACTCCATGTGAGCTGTCCTTCCCTGAAGTTGGCCCCCTTCTGTCCAAGATGGGACCTCAGCTGCCCACTGTCTCCGTTTTCCCCAACTTTTTGAATGAGAAGCTTCCCCGGAACGTGATTGACAAAGCCTCCCTGGAGCTGGGCCCATCCACAGGCTTAACTGGCCTACAGGCACCCCAGGGAGACTCGGGGTGAGGTCTCCTGTGCCTTGCATGTGCCTGTCCATAAAGATGACTTGTGCAGCCTGTTTCCGGGTTCCTCTTTCCACCCTGACCCGGTTCCTCTTTAATAACTTGGCAGATTGGAAAAAGCTGGTCAGCCTGTTATTCATCTTCTGCACTTGTATCCCTGATTGGGGACAGCTTTCCCTCCAGTGTCCTAGAGACACCTCTCCTCCTGCTCCACGCACCTGCAGGGCCAGGCCTCGTGTGTACCCCGTCAGCCAGTGCTGAGTGGCAGTCTGGGAGTCTGTGTGCCCTCCCTCGGGTGTGGTTCGAGGTGCTGCCTGTCAAACATTCCTCCAGAGGTGTTGTAGTAATTGTGTCTGGATTTGCACGTGGGGCCCTAAAAGCATTCCAGCACTGGGGCAGGCGCTGCCTTAGGCCTTAGGAGGGTCTGTGAAGAAAGGTGAGTGGAGTCCAGGCTTCCTTTTAGCTCTGAGTTGACTACAGAGGCTCAGACGATTTACATCATGTTGGTCAGATCCTTCGATCGTGGTCTGGTCTTCACTGCTTTCTCCACAAATGGCCAAAACATTCTTTGGAGCACTTAGCAACAGGTTGCCCACCCAGCTGTGCTGTGGCCATCGTCTCCGTGCAGCCTCCCACTGAGAGTGGCCTCTCCGGGCCTCACTGGCACCAGGAGCACAGGAGCTCACTTCTCCTTCTGTGTGAAGAAGTCATGGGCAGGTCCCAGGTGTAGATGCTGAGAGACACGGGACCTTCAAGACCTTGCACACAAGGTGCACCCTGCATAAACAAGGCCACTCACCCGAGCTCATGTGGACACATGCCGAAGACAGAACAAGGCCTGGCAGTGGCTGGCCTGGCTCCCTCCAGCCCATGGAAATGGTGCAGGGAGCCCAGGGCCCCTCATGTCTGCAGGGCGTGGAAGCTAAAGCAGGAAAGTGAACCAGAACCACAGTAGCCATAACGGACACTTTTGAAACAAAGAGATTTGCTTGTGAATATTGTTTAAATAATGTATCATCAAATCAGCAGCAAGTTCCTTGCAGGTGACAGAGGAACAGTAAGGAGGAAGAACAAGCTGAATTTCTTAGGTCCAGAAGTTCATGATGCCTACAAATGATTCAGAAATAGAAGTGGTTCTACCACATCTAAAGAGTGTGCGCACCAGCCAGGTGTGGTCACGTTGCCACCCCAGTGGCCACAGCAGCCACAGGTGCTGTCGTTGCCATTCTTTAGGTGGTAGTGATACCACCCTGTGTGTGTGTGCATGTTTGTGTGTGCGTGTGTGTGTGTTGCTGGCAATTGAACCCAGAGCCTTCACACTGAAATCTATCCCAACCTTTTTATTTGAACCGAGTCTTGCTAAGTTGCCCAGGCTGGGCTCGCCTGGTATTTTCCCTGCTTCAGCCTCACCCCTCGTCCTGGGATTAAAAGCAGCACTCCTGCTTTAACCTGGCTGTTCTAATAACGGAAGTACTCCTTTCACCCTGCTTTGTGGGAGAAATGAGTCAGTCTGAAGCAGGATTTCAACGCTCACAGGTTTAAGGTGGCCTGTCCACCCTTCTGCAGCCAGTACACCTGCAAAATGCGGGATCCTCCTGTCTTGGTCCCCCTGATGAATGGAGGAGCAGCATAGGCAGTGGGGCCTTGCAGTCCCTCCCATGCTCTCATTCTCCCTGTCCTGTGGGCCAGTGGACTACAGTCACCCCCCGCTTTGCTCTCTAATGGCCTTTTTAGCCACTTAGGCAGCCCCGTGCAGGAGAGGTCACTCAGCACTAGTGCCTGAAATACTTACAGCAAATAGCAGTGAGTTACGCTGTTTGCCCCCATCCCTGTCACTGCTGGGGAGAGCCTTTTAGAGAGGGGGTGAGGTTCCATGGCTTGTGTCCCTCTGTCTCACTCCACTTGATACCATTCAGTAGCAGGAAGTGGGTGGATTTCCACAGCAAAGGAATGAAGGAGCAAGTGGGCTGCTGGAAGAAAAGCAGCCCCTGTGCCCACTATAACAGCACTGAGTTCAGCACACAGACTCTGGGCAGAGTCTTGAGGCTGATAAGGAGAGAGATGTGGCTACTTGGTAAGTAGAAAAGTAAACCCCGGGGTTTGATTCAAACCTGGGCTGCAGCCAGGCTGGTAACACCCACCTGTAAACCCAGCTGCTCAAAAGGCTGAAGCTTCACAGATTCAAGGCCATCCTTAGTAACTTCATGAGCCCCTATCTAAAAAATAAAAATAGCCACTTGAGATGGCGCAATTCCAGAACTCGAGGCTGAAGCAGGAGAATCTCTGGGTGCTCGAGGCCAGCCTGGGCTACATAGTTCAAGACTAGGCTGAACTACATAGCAAGAAAACCTAACAAAAATAAATAAATAATAAAAGGAGCTAGAGCTCCTTGGATTCAGTCCCCAGTACCTCAGACAAAAAACAAAGCAAAACAAGGTTAAGATGCAGCCTGTAGGGCCTATCCACTTAGGTTCCTCCCTGTACAATCCTGTGACATTGTGGGAAAGAGTGTTTTAAGTCTCATGTATTTGTTTTAAGCTTCTAATTTATTTTACTCCATTTCTGTGTTCCGTTTTAATTTGTTAAATCATCATTATCATTGCTATTTCTGTTTTGTTTTCTGTTGCCATCCCTTTAAAAGTCGATTTATGTACCACACGCCTTGGCATTCAGGAGACCCCATTCATCAAAGGTAGTGTCCCCTTGCCGCCGGCTGGTCCGCGTTGCATGCCTGTCTGTGATTAACCCCGCAGAACAGCTGGTCCTCACTAACTGTGTTCAGATGTGCATGTAGCTCTAGCAACCAGACTTTCTTTAGCTGTGCCTTAAGGAGACAAGAAGATGAGACACCTACTCTTCACTGGCTGGAGTGCATATGGTCATTTTGCTCCAGTGCCCGTGCTGGGGGCACAGATGCCCCTGTGGGTCTGGGCACCCCAGCGAGGGTAGCGTACCTCAGCTCTGTCCGCAGGGTGAGCTGTTGGGGCACAGACCTGCCTATGCCTGTTCACTTGATCCATTTGAACTCCTAGTTGACTTGATGAATCCAGACCCCTTGATGACTTGAGGTGAAAAATCTCCTCTAAAATCTGTGAAAGTCTCCCTGTTTGTTTTTCTTTGAAGCAGTCATAAGCAGACCTCAAGAAAAAAGGCAGACTTCCCACAGGGCTCTGGCAGCTGCACTTGTAAGCCCAGGCAGCCCAGCAGGGGGCACACTGGATTTGCCTCGCTCCCCACCACCACTCGAATTCTTGATGTACCACCCCAGTGCATCTGGACAGACCCCTTCCTTCCGGCCTCTCTGGGGCAGTTAGAGTCTCTGCAGACCCCAGAGGCAGCCAGGGTCACCCCACCCACACTTCCTTCTTCAGCCTGCGTTACTTAGATCAGTATTCTTTTCTCTACCTCGGATGTTCTTAAATTTCTGAATCCCATCATCTCAAAAAAATAGTTTTTGATACCAAACAAGAAAATAATAGGATCTGGATTTTTTCCCCCTTTTTCTTTATGTTTGCCTCAGAAGCAATGGGCTTAGGGAACTATCCTACCAGTATTTGTATCCTCACAAGTACAGGCATTCTTAAGCAGAGAAGAAAGTGTTTCTGATGATAGAGTACTAAATTTCCTCTGTCATTTTAATCTTCTGACCCTCAGTCCTCCCATCCCTGTCACCAAGAGAAGTGTCACTTTGGGGTCTATAGGTACATATACCCTACGTTATCTGGGCTCCAGCAGGGACAAGTACCTCTGAAGTCTCAGCCGAGCTGCAGCCAGGGCTCTGCACACACTATCCAGCTGCTGCCGGGCACCAGCTCCCACTCAGGACAGCCCTCTCTGTGCCCCTGCCAGCCTGTCTCCCAGATGACGCTCTAACCTGCGTGTACCTCACTAAGGAGATCTGTCTCATTCTCTCCAGCCAAGAACCTACACAGAGGAGGAGCTGAGTGCCAAGCTGACCCGGCGAGTGCAGAAGGCGGCTCGGAGGCAGGCCAAGCAAGAGGAGCTCAAGCGGCTGCACCGAGCCCAGGTACAGGCACGGGAGGCAGGGCATGAGGCTGGGAGGAAAGTCAAGGGGCTGCATCTTCCTGTGCACCCCGGTGGCCTTGTCCATGCCAAGGCATGGTAAGGAAGCCAAACTGAGGCACAAGAGACTTCCCTGTCATCCAAACTCACTGCCTTCAGAGTTCCCTAACCCCTCAGTCTATAGTGGGCATTATCAGCCACTTGGTCCCCTGGTAAGCAACAGTGTCCAGAGTCAGTTATTGGCCTGCTGGCCTCGGAGAGAGGTCAGACCATCTTCAGTCATCAGGCTCTCTCGTCTGCCTTACACCCTACACTCCTCAAGACGTATCCTTTGACTTCCAAAGACAGGATTAGAAGAATTCTCTCAGAGGTTTAGGGATCTTGTTCTAGAAAGGTCAGAGGTGATAATACACGGATGCTTCCTGTGGGGTTTTACGTCTGCCAGCCTTGGAGCTGCTCCAGGGAGGTGCTGGCCCTGCTTCCCCTACCTGTGTACCGTGGGTGAGTCTGCTCTGGGGTCCAGTGCAGGCAATCCACACGCCACACACCGAGGAGCATGCTGTGTACCAGAGGCTTTGGTAATGTTTTGATACAGTTTGTCTTCCTCCCTTTGTGCTACATGGTGTAGTTTTCCTCCTGAGAACTCAAGAGAAAGCTGCGTGCTTACACCGCTGTTTCTCGGCAGATCATCCAACGGCAGCTGGAGCAGGTAGAGGAAAGGCAGAGGCAGCTGGAGGAGAGAGGGGTTGCGGTGGAGAAGGCGCTCCGGGGAGAAGCAGGTACTGTCTGGGTTCTTTGTGAGGAGGTCAGTTCTTAGGGAGAGCCCGCCCTCCCCGCCTGGGTAGACTAGTTCTGCATCATACATCTGAATTCAGCTCCTTCTCCAGCAGGGTTATCTGGGGCACTGCATTACTGAGATCTGGAGTTTCCTAATAAGCCAAGACAAGTCCTTGTGTTTGGGCAGCCCTGGGGCCAAGGCCTGCTCTCCAGCCCTGCTTACACCTTACCATTCCCCGTAGAGTGAAATCGGAGGCCTGTCATGTGTGGCCATCGAGCTCTGGGCTTCCCCCTCCTTGTCCTCCCTCCCTACCCATCATTTTCTCCGTGAGAAAATGCCTGGAATGAGGGAGATTGTACCACAAGGAACCATCACAGAACAGTGGCAAGCAGGTCTCCAGCCTGCTTTCTGTGTCTCCTCCTGTCCTTGGTTCCTGGGTTCTCTTGCCCAAGTCACAGGCTCCCCAGAGCCCACACTGTCTCCTGCAGAGGGGACCTCGGTCTGCCCTTAGTGTGCACAGGTTTTCAGGGTCAACTCAGGGTCAGTGTCCACTAAAGGCCAGTCATTCGGGGCACAGTTGGAGAGGCCAGAAGGACTGATGGGCCAGCGCAGAGCCGGCAGGGGAAGCGACTGTGAGGTGGCATCCTGGCAGAAGAGGCTGGCAAGTGTAGTGCCACCTGCTGTTCCCAGGGACCTGTGAGTTTGGGCTCAGCACAAAGCAAGAAAGGAAACACTGAGGCCTCTTGAGCCACAGCCTAGGGAGCCCTGCTGAGTCCAGACCTTTGGCCATGGCCTACCCCACCTTCAGGCATGGAGAGACTGATACTTGCCTTCCGAAGCATCCAGAGCTTTGTCCAGTCTCTGGGTGGGGATCACCCAGAGCATGAGGCTTACAGCGCAGCTGGGATGAAACAGGCAGAGGCTTCTTACTTTGTCCCACTGTCACAGCAGAAGGGAGTGGGCACTGGCCTCCTTGAAGGCAGGTTCTGTGTGGAGCTGGAGAGAAATCGGAAGGGACGGCCGAGAGCAGGGGTAGCAGAGCCGTGCACTTCGCTGCCACACTGAGCAGTGGGTGGGCCTCGTGGCATGTGCCTGGAGTGGACGAGAAGTCAGCTGGACGTGTAGGATGGATATTTGTATACTACGGAGTGGGGTCAGACAGAGAAGTGGATCTTATCCTGGCTCAGAAATTACAGCTTCTCGTTGGCTCTTTGATGACCTTCAAGGGAAAAGAAGGGTTGGGGAGGAAGATGAGGGTGTGGATGTCCTTGATTTTGTGATGTGGGACTTAACACTCGAAGTCCAATGCGAAAACCTTGAACTACTTGGTACCCAGCAAGCCAGAAAGACGTGGATGTGTTACTGCAAGACAAGTGCTGGCTCCTATGCCAGGGAGTAGAGGCCTAGGTTCAGCCAAAAGGACCTCCAACCCCCCAGAGAACCTGTGATTTCCCCCACAAGCTTGCAGGCTTCCTTTCCCTGCTCTGCATGCTCAGCCTGACCCCAGGAATTCGCCCTCCAGGACACCCTGTGCCCAAGTACAAGCACTGTGGGCCTGCTCTTGCTTTTGTCTTGTTGCAGAGAATGCCAGGAGGAAGGCTAAATCCATCACCATTGCTTCTTAACCCTTCTGCACAAATTACTTCTGCCATGATAGGTCTTGCACCCCACAGAACAACTTCCATAGGTCCACGCATGCTCAGTGAGTTGGGGTCACCCAGAAGAGGATCCCCCCCCCAACCTTCCAAGGTGCAGGGCCTGCCACTGGGGTTCGTGGCTTCCATAAAGCACTTGAATCCTCATCGGCTCCCTGAAACTGGAATCTACGGTAATACTTCAGCGCTTCTGCAAGGAGCGTGTTACTCCCATTGCCACCACGCAGTCTGGAAATAGCACTGTTAAAGATTGGCAGCGGAAGGCCGTGAGCAGGGCTCACAGCGCATTTGGCCCAGCCTGGGTTCCATCCCCAGTGCCCCACACGCCCCAGAAAAAAGATTGGTAGAGGATTTTAACTAAAATTCTTTCTTGTTGTTGAGCTGAATACATTTTCATAAATATGTACAACCTTAATAAGTCAGTGGTTTTCAAACTTCCTTTTAGTAGCAGAGTCCTTTTCGTAAGATTTTAAATTCAATAAAAAAGGGTTAGTCTAAAGTATTTTTTAAAGCCACACACACAGGCTTAGGACCCAGGTTATGCTGGCAAGCTGTTGATGTTAGGCTCCACTCCCAGTTCATTCCTGGGGTTCGGTGCCGAGCGCACTCATCCACGCAGGGAGCTGTCAGAAATGGTCGCAGCTCATTCTTAACCTGCCTGAAAGATCTAGCTAGATCTGTACTTGAAGTGCTATGGGTGCTGGAAGCTTAAAAATAAAATAGGGGTTTTTTTCCCCCTCAACTGAATCAGTAATGAATCTAACAGTTGTTCATATTCCTTATAAAGAACCAATCTCAGAGAGGAAGCTTCCTCAGAGAACAAACCAAAAGCACACAGCGAGGCAGAGTGTCATGACGTAAGGTTCTCTCAGCTGGGGAACCGTGCCAACAGGTGCTGCTCAGAGGCCTGCACCTCCTGGACCACAGCTCCCTTCCCTGGCCCCTGCACAGGGCCACCTGAGCCCTGAACTTGCAGGTCAGGATTCTTTCCAGAGCTCAGATATGGCACACAGAGAGCAAAAGAAACCTGGTGCCCGGTGCCCCACAAAAGCAGGTTTACCCAGTAGCACAAATCTTCAGGCCTGGTCTGATGCTCTCGTCCAGGGCTGCACTCCGACGTGACAGCCACCATCTTTGAGGTTGTGTATGCACACTGGCCACTTCTAGTCCTATCTCCTAGTCCTCTTGCATGGCTCACCCTACCTATCTGGGCCCTGACTGAAGAAGGTAGTCTTTCCCGGGCATGGAACCTCGGGTCTTCTTTTTTTTTTGTCTTTTTCGTTTTTATCGGTACCGGGGATCGAACTCACGACTGCCTGCTTGCAAGGCAGGTGCTTATGCCACTGAGCTAAACCCTCAGCCCCAACCTCGGGTCTTCTGGCAAAGCCCACCAACCCCTTGGCTGTGCCAAGCTAGGGGAAGCTGCCATCAGTCTCATTTGATAATTTCAGGCTTCGGTCACCATCTGGAGCCCCAGACTTGTCCATCTCAGGGCTCAGTCTCTACTGGAGACCAGATCTGTATGAACCTGCCAGCTGGTTACTCTGTACTCATGAAAGGCTTCTGTACCCCCAGGCCTCAAGGATTAGCTTCAGAGTCTTTCTGCCAAGACAAGACCAAGGCTTAGGTGATTCCTGGTCCTAGAATATCCAGGAAGCTTTTTTTCTTTCTGAAACCATCTCATTCAAACTTAAAAGCACTGATCGCTTTGAGCAGGAGATAGAAATCCATTGCAGGATTGCGTTCAGTTTCGTGATGTTTCCATTCTTGAAGGGGAAGCTCTCATGTTGAACTAAAGGCTATCAGGACCAGCCTTCTGAGCATGAGGTTTGGAGAAAGGATGGCACAGCCACTGAGTTTTATTGTTTTGTACCTCTGTGGTTCCGGGAGACAAGGACAACCTGCTCCAGCCCACCCTGGCCGGGCACAGGCAATGAAGGCCGGAGTTTTCTCTGTGGAGCAACTGCAGGACCAAAGTCTGGGAGAGTTTGAGGCCAGAGCTCTGTATGAATAGCGAGGGTAAGAAATGCACAGGTCCCAGCTCGCCTGTTGTTTTTAAGGACAAGACTGGCCAAAGCCGAGGCCTGCATCTCGGAAGACGCAGGACTCCCAACTTAAGCACTACTCAGCACTAAACATGCAGTGGTCACCAGGGGGGCACACATGTGTTCTGGAAGCTCGCTACCTGCATTTAAACCTAAGGATTGGGAGCCATGCATGGCAGTGCATGCCTGTAATCCTAGCACTCAGGAGGGTGAGGCAGGAGGATTGCTGTGAGTTCAGGGCCAGCTTGGACTATGTAGTGAGTACAAGGCCAGCCTGGACTACAAAGCAAAAGCCTGTCTCTAAAAAACAAAACAAAACCACCAAACGTAAGGATTGGGACTCTTGCAGTCTTGGTTAGGACATTCAAATGTTAGACACTCAGCCTATGGCTTCTGGTATTCAGAAACGAAGAAAGCAAGTAATGCCTGATCTGCCCTTTAATTTTCTTGCATGTTCACTTAGATAAGGCTGGATCTAGCAGGGTCAGAGTTCCCAGCAAAGCCGGTCTGTGTCCTCACAGACCTGAGGTTTCAACAGGAGCCTGCGATACTGGAGGTCTACTCGGTCCCTGTGATTTTTCCGGTTAATCCTCTTCACCCAGAGGCAGCCTGCGCGTGCACATGCGTGCTGCCCTCGTTCGCCCTCTTGCTGTGTCTCTGCCTGTTTCTTATGCTTCATTTCATCAATTGCCGTGGGCACGGGGGGTGGGCAGCAGGGTCATCTGGTCAAATAACTCTTCACCAATTCCTTGTTGTAGACTATTGGGGAGAGTCTTATTACAGTGACCTCATCGACTTGCACCTGGGTGGTATGTATAGCTGCGGCCCTCGCTGGCGCCCTTCCCTCCCTCCGTCTCTCCACCCCTCCCTCCCAGTTCCCACTCACAAACAGCAAGAGAAATCTACCTGATAACTACACAGCAAAAGCAAAAACCCTTTTCAGACTCAGTGGTAGGACACTCACCTAGAATACATGAGGCCTTTCATTCAAAGCCCAGTGTTAAAAAAAATAAAAAGGTGGCACCTCAGACCCTCTCCACTGCCTTGTACTCCAGAGGAAGAATTAAAGTAACTCTTGCTTCCAGGGTTGGTTTTTTTTTCATTTTTATCAGTACCAGGGATCGAACTCACGACTGCCAGCTTGCAAGGCAGGCGCTTTATGCGCTGAGCTAAATCCCCAACCCCATTCCAGGGTTTTTGATGGTTTAAAATAAAATTTTTATTGCTTTTTTTTTTTTTTTTTTTTTTTTTTTTATGGTTACCAGGGATCGAACTCGCAACTGCACGCTTGCAAGGCAGGC